TAGTTGTTTATTTTTAAAAAATCCTCACCTGAGGATATTTTTCCATTTATTTTCAGATAGAATGGGAAGGAAGAAGAGAGAGAGAAAGAGAGAGAGAGAGACTGATGTGAGAGAGATACATGAATTGGTTACCTCCCACACAACCTCAACCAGGGCCGGGGACCGAACTGCAATTGATGTACGTACCCTTGACTGGAATCAAACTTAAGACAGTTTGGTCTGCGGGTGGACGCTCTAACTGCTGAGCCAAACCAGCCAGGGTAACTCTCTACTTAGTTTTTATGTGTTGTCACAAAGACACAATTTGTGAGCTTAAAAGTGCTAACTTGGTCTCAAAGGTCACTTCTAGAGTGTCCCTATATGCTCTGCTGACTACACAATCCTAGGGGGGATACATGATAAGAAACCTCCCGGGATGGGCTTTCTGGCCCCCTTCCATGACAATTTCCTTGGGCAAATTAAAAATAATGTGCTCATTGCTTTTCTTATAGCTGTGGGGACTTAGCTAGAGGGTGCTCTGATTGACAGCTGAGTTTGAGGGGGAAATCTTGGAGGAGGACACCGGATCCTCTTATTTGGAAATCGGACACTCCATTGATTCAGTGTACTAGATTTTAATGGAGTACCTGCTATGTAGGCAGCATCTACCTACTGGACCTGCTGCCCACTCCATGCAAAGGGAGGGACAGTCACTCTTTCATTACCTATGAATATTCAGTAGCTGCTATGGCCAATTAAGCAGTAGGAACCAGGCATTCAGGAGCACGAGGGGCAAAGCAAAGAAGGAGATGTACCTTGAAGATCTCCCTCCTGGTATTGCAGTTGACATCAGTTGGAGAAAGACAGGATCTTTTCACTTTTTATTTTGTTTGCTTGTTCTTCTTCTCTGGCTACGAAGCCATAGCCATGTAGACATAGCTTGGGAGGTTTGTTCTTTTAGCCATTTCCACCATCCATACACATCCCAACTGCCTGAACATGTTGATTACAGCAATTAATGTCAATCTGTCACTGTCCAAGGTGGCAGGGTTGGCTTAGTTCACCTGCCTGGTTCAGCTGTCATCTTCCACACAGCCGTGTCTCTTCTACAACCCCGTACATCACAGGGCTTTGTTGCGGAGACTTTCCACTCAGGTGCAAATGCCCCGCCAAGGGCCGCTAATCTCGGAATCTTGGAGTGTTATCTTTCAAAAGCAGTTTCAGGACAAGCTCGCTAAGAGAAAAGAAAGGGGAAGACTAAGACTTCTGATTTTGTAAACATATTAAAATGGCATCTCACTGGGAGGATTTTAAAAAAGCAAACACTAAAAGCAGGAAGAAAACAGGCTGTAGGAGAACTAAGGAGTAGAGCGCAGCAGAAGGAAGTGACAGGGAGAAAGATGAAATTCCTAGTAAGTCCTCAAATGTCAGATGGGAGTGGCCAGGAACACACATTCATTCGACTTTGGAAAATCGTATTTAATATTTGTTAATGGATTTACCTTTCAAGCAGTGGATCTAATATGAATATTGACACTCCCTGCACCCATCACAGCTTTGGGGAGCATGTTTGAGATTCTTTTGGCTGACTTTGAGCAAAAATAAGTTCAAACTATTCTTAGTTTTCTTTCCTGGGGGGTCCTGGGGGGAAGGGCCAGACCTACTTTAGGAGATATCTCTTTACATCTAGTCATTAAAAGTCCTGGTTCATACATTCACCTGAAGTATTTATGCTAGTTCACACTTGAAAACCTGCCCCAGATGGCATCACTCCAGAAGATGATTCTTATTGCTTCAGAAGGAGGGGAAATACTGCCTGTCTGAGAGGAACTGGAGCACTGGGCAAGAAGGAACATTCCTTCCCAAGAATATATGGTTTTATTGGGGTCAAATGAAACTTTGCCCAGTTCTTTACTCATGTGGAAAGCGAATGTGCCTAATCCACTTTCCAAAGGAGGGAAATGGGAGCACAGAGCAGGAAGGCAGATCACTTTTATTTGTTTGAATAGACTGGGGAGATGCCAGACGGAGCTGTATTCTCCAGCCCCATGTGGTTTTGAACCTTTTGCTATCCGCAGACTTAAAATTGTCCAGCTCCCAGCCATGGAAAGAAACAGGCTTAATGTTTTAATTCCATCCAGAGGCACAATGAACTGGAAGCTTCAGCCAGAACAGATTCAATTTCCTTCCCAGACTCGATAACTTTGTTTTATAAAAATGAGCTCAATGACATTTCAAGGGTTAATTATGAGCCTTTAGAGATCTTGGACAGGCATTTATTTAAAAAAAAAAAAATTGACCATGGCTGGTTTTGTTCAGTGGTTAGAGTGTTGGCCTGTGGACCGAAGGGTCACGGGTTCGATACCTGGTCATGTACCTGGGTTGCAGTTTCAAACCCTGGTCTCCATCGGGGTCATGTGGGAAGGCAACCGATTGATGTGTCTTTTTCACATCAAAGTTTCTCTCTCTCTCTCTTTCCCTCCCTCCCTTCCACCCTATCTAAAAATCAATGGAAAAATATCCTTGGGTGAGGATTAACAACGACAACGACAACAACAACAACAAATGTGTGTGTTTTAAGAGCGCAAAGCATGCAACACTTTCTCTCCAAACCATACATCTCCAAAAGTACATGGGAGGTGTGATTTATTAGGCTCTTTTGGTATCTACTCAATTTCAGGTTGAAATGCAAGAGGGCAGAACACTGGCTCACCACATTGCCAGGCAGTGGGAGAGGAAACTAGTACTGTTTTCTGAGTCCCATTTTCAGAACCCCCCTTCAGCCCACTGCCTCTCCCTTTCAAAGCACACACAGGAGGACCAAATACTCCTCCACCTAAGTGCCAAAAAGAAGTCTCTGCTTTTTCCCAGTTAACCCTGAGAGGGCAGCCGGAGGGAGCGTGCTTCCCTTCCAACATTCTCTGGTCCCAAGATTTCTCTTTAAAAACGCCTCAGCACCCCAGGACTCTGCCTCTAGAGCCCAGTCCTCCTTTACAAGCTGCTGGGGGAAGAGAGTTTGAAGCTGGCAGAAGGCTTTGGAGGTGAAAGGCAAAGGAAGTGGGGGAGAAGGCAAGGGAGAGTGGCAGCATGCTGCTCCCAGGGAATGTGTGTCATTCTGTTCCTGTGCCCAAGAGGATTCCTGCGCCTGCCTCGCCATCCTGCCCTGCCCCAGGGTTAGGCTGCTCAGAGATCACAGGGATGCAACCCACTGCTGGGAGTGGCTCCTCTCAAACAGGCATTTTTATTATCAAACAAGTGACGGGGGAGGGGGAAGGAAAGATATGAGAAACTGAAGCAATCTGCTGTCACATCATCAGGTTTTAGTGAAAAATCTACTGTCTGATCCTCATAGGGTCAAGAGTTCAGTTGTTGGACAAGGGAAGATGTGGCATCAAATAAGTGTGTGTATGTGTGTACGTGTGTGCATGTATGTGCATGTTTGTGTGTGTATGCACGTGTATAGGCATGTGCATGTGTGTACATGTGTGTGCATGTGTGGTGTTTTCTCTATCATCTACTTCAGAAAATATTCTCTCCTTTCCATTAAAAATTTTGCCCTAGAAACCAAAGGTTCATTGCAGAAGATTTGGAAAATATGGTGACGTGACACGGAAGAAACAAAAATTCACCTATCACTTTACCACCTAATGTTATCAATATCTTGGTGAATAGCCACCAGTCTGTTTCCACTTTTTTAATGGAATCTAAGTTCCAAGAGCATACATGGGAATCTGCTCACATCTGTGACCCAGTGCTCTGACGGTGCCTCGGACGTCGTGACCTATAGATGCTGGTTGAATGAATGAATAATAAATAAAACTATCGAAGAATAATTTGAATCAAAATAGGTTGTCGTGATGCAGCAGAGCATAATAGAAATGGAGTTGCTTGGATGTGACAAACTTGGAACCAAGCTGCTACTGCTGATTTACTGTGTCTCCTTGGATCAGTCACCTCACTTCCCGGGGCCTGAGTTTTTTCTCCAGTAATCAGCATTTTAGTTAACATGAACTGAGTGCTTACTGTGTGCCAAGCATTGCTATAAGCTCTCTATGTGTCTTTCCCAGCCTCACTCTATGAGATAGGTGCCTACTACCCCCATTTTATGCACGAGGAAACTGAGGCATGGAGAGGCTGATTTGCCTACAGGCGCACAGATGCAAAGGGGACAGCTGGGTTGGAACTCCAGTGGAGTGCCTTGGCTGGGATTCGGTGACTCCTGGCCCCTCCGCTCTGGTGCTGAGCGAGAGAGGAGTAGTGCAGGAGGTTGTGATGATTGTGCTCTGGGCTGAGCACAAGAAAATCAATTGTGGAACAAGGTCCACATGATTAGTGCATGGAGATCAGAGAGTAAAGTTCTCATCCGGGGAGGACTTCCTCCTGGATATGGGGAGTCCAAGTGGGCATTCACAGAGCATAATGCTAAAGCAGTCTGCTGTCCAACCAGGGCTCCTCCGTCCAGAGGCAGCGTTACCTGGCCTCTTGGTGTGTCCCCTTCCACTGCCATGGCCTCACCCTACAGGACAGTGCACCGGGATCAGGCAGGGAGGTAAATGAGAAATAAATCAGATCATTCTTGGCCATGAGCAGCAGCTGATGCATTTGAAGGGAGAGGAAGAATAGGGCTCTGCTTCAATGATTAAATAGGATTTCGAGGGGCTGGACACTGCCCCCCCCCCCTCCTGCTCCCTCATGAAGTTTGGGCAGATAACTTGTGTTCTGCCTTATCCCCTTGGTAACCGAGCCTCCCTTTTGGTGAGGAGGAATGGGCTTCAGTAAACAGATCTATTTGTGTGACTCCTATTACTCACTGAAACCTCGTCACTCCTTTTTCCACTGTGGTCTCTGCGTCTGAGTCAGAGGGAGCCCAAACAGGCTTCTTTGAATTGATGGCTCACTCCCAGCCTCTCTTGACTGACTGCCAACCTAGCAGGGCGTAGCTTACCAACAAATCTTTTTTTTTTTTTTTAAGACAGACTGATTCATAGAAACTCCTTTAAAACAGTGAAAAGAAACCGCCCATCACACACCCCAGCACACCAGTGCAGGAAACTTATAACCTCAGGAGGCAGGTCCCTCCCCTCACTGTGGTCACAAACCTCCAGAAGAGCGGACCAGGCAGCTGCCAGCTCCTGCCACTCCTGCACCTCCGTCGCTGGGACCCTCAGGTAGGACAGCTCCCAGCACTGTGGGGAAACGCAGAGAATTCTCGTTCCTTTCCATCGCTCTCCTTCGGACCTCATTCAAGTTTTGCTTTTTCTTTTCGCAATTTTTCTATGATTCCTTGAATCGAATCCTTGAAACTTTTGGCTAAGAGTAGACACTGAGACAAGTTTTTCCATAAAGTTCAGAAGAAATGTATTCGGAAGGCTGGGTGAGGGGAGGGCCAGGGAAATCAGCAGGGCCGGTTGTAATCATATCTTGCAGTACGTGGGTTCTTGCTCCGAAGATGTAAAGGGAGCAGGGACTTTGGAACACACCTGGATAGGAGAGTCTCTATGGAGAAAACACTGCAAACCTTTGAAATGACATGCTGCCGTTGCCAGATGTTTTCCATGCCTCCATTTTGATTCAAATTGCTTGTTGGTTGTTTGCTGATCTTTTTGGGGTGCCGGTGGCTAGAGAGCTTGCTTTTCAGTTTATTTTTGCAGTGGTTTCTACTGTTGCATTTTTGCTTGTTCCTTCACTTCTGTTTGGATTGAAGAACTTTTTCTCCCCCACAGGTTGGAGGGGGGGTGGGTTTTGTATAAAGAAAACCGTTAGAGAAAGAGAGCGAGAGCGAGAGCGAGAGAGAGAGAGAGAGAGAGAGAGAGAGAGACAACTGGTGTTTCAAATAAAACTTGGGAGGGGTTCACTAGACAGAAGCAGGAGCCTGATGTAGATTCCAGAGCTTCTTCTCTCCTGGGCCAGATGTGCCAGATGGAAGAGGCAGGAGGGAAGCTGGAATTGGGGGAGAGGGAGGGGCAGGGGAACTTCATCTGTCCCTGTAACAAAGTCATTGAGCGGCTTTGTGCTTCCACCCCAGAAGTCGCTGAATTTTAACGCTGAGTGGAAAGTTAGTATATCAGAAGTGATTAAATAATTTTTAAAGGTGGATGTGGAATTTTTCTGTCTGGAAGACAGTGATTATTTCGGGACATTTATCTTCTCACCCTTGTCCAAACTGTGGATGCACAAATGCTAACACTCATGCTAATCACCAAGTGAATCTGGAGAGAGGAGGGAGGGTGACTTCTGTTTGCTTTTTTATTTTTAGGTTAGCATTTTGGTTGAGGTGTGGCCTATTTTAACATAGATACTGGTGGATTTTTTTTCCCCTGAGAACATAAACAAGAGGAGAAAAATGACAGGATTCAGCTTGTCTGATGAAATTAGACTTTTCCTTTAGAAATGTAGTCGTTGGGAAAAAAAACAAACAAACAGAAATGCAGTCGTTGAAAGGGAAGATTGAATGTAATCGGCCTGTGTACCTTGTACAGGCAACACTCCTAGTAAAACTGCCCCCAGGGGGATGATTAAGTAAGTGCAAGGGCAACTTTTCAAAATGTAGGAACTCCCACAGTTGCTTAAAAGTTTATTATTTCCAGATTAACTGGATGTGGATTAGGGGAGCCATTATTAAGTTGATAGTAATGGTGTTCTATGAAATTAGTACACATCTTCTAGTTCTGTGCAGGTTAAAACAAATAAGCCAATATTCTAATTCAGCAGATAGAAAATACTGAAAATTCTGGGGGCGTAAACCATCAGAGATTACATTATTGGTGCTGTGTTTCATGTGAGGCTGTGGTTTTATAGATAAGAAAATAGGCTGCATGTTATTTCCTTCAGATTTGAGGGCAAATGAAAAAAATGTAATTCTGATTCCTGCTTTTCTCTCTTCCTCCAAGAAGCAGTGAGCGAATCCTTAACGGGGGCAGTTTTTGTAGATTGCAGCTGGAAGTCTTGACAACCCAGGGCTGTGAGGGTTACAGTCTCCTCCCTGCGGCCTCCCACCCTTAGAGGAGGCTCGGATTCCACCCCAGAGTCTAAAGAATGGGGCGGGGGTGGAGCACTGTCTGGAGGGCTGCAGGACCTCCGGTCTGGCGCCCAGTCAGAGGACCCCCCAAACTGGACATTGTTTGAAGGTACTAAGTCCTGGGAGTTGTCAGGAGGCCATTAGGGACCAATCCAGAACAGATCACATCCCAGAACAGACGCTGGCTACCTTCCAGGAGCACAGGGCAGACCTCTGAGGAAGGAAAGCCATCCTTCCACAGACCACTGAAAAGACTCACTTTGGCTTTCTCAACTCTTCCCGCTTCCCTCCTGGGACCAGCGTGGGGCCCACTCAGTTTCCGGGGGACATCCAGATGCTGAATGGGCTTCATCAAGACCATCCTGGGGATGCAGATCCTCTTGGCTTGGGCCCGGATGGCTCTGCGGGTTTGGGGTTATACGGACTCACTGAGATCAATGGGTCCCCCATGAAGAAGCAAAACAGCTTTTTATAGACTCCTCAGAGCCTGATGGGGAACATATCTGAAATGTTCACATGTCACAAATGGCCACAGAATAGGGCACGAGGCAAATTTAATTATATTCCATTATTAATTTTGTTCATCAGATTCTCAGTTTGGGAGGGATCTTGAAGATCAACCCTTTCATTCTCCTACCATATGCAGAAATCTTATTTTTACACCACCCTGGACAGATGACCATTTGGCATCGCTTTAACATTTCAAGGGTGGGTGTGGGAGGCTATCCATGCCCATCCCCCTTCACTGGACAGCTCTAATTATTGGTTTCTTCAATCCAACAAAATTGGGTTTTCTATAACTTCTATTCTTTGTTTCTAGTTCTGTGATCCTGAAGTGACCCAGAAAATATCTATTCCGTTTTCGTTTTTGTTGTTGCTGCTCCACCCATGCTCTTGATCCTCTAGACAATTAACCCTTACTTAATAGTTAATGGATAAAACTTGATTGTTATGAATATTATTGCCCAAGACTCAGCAAGAGAGGCAGGTAACATTTCAAAGCCTCGAAACTATGCAGAGTAAAGTATAGCCATAGGATTTGAGTCCAAGGTATTTCATTTCCTACACATGAATAGGGTTCCTTCTTTAACTCACCACCAGTATATACAAAAGCTCAGAGACGTTTGGGACTCTCCAATATGCATACTCAGGGGGACACACCCAGTTGCCAACCACAAGGTCATGGTTAAATCAATTCAGTATCAGACACAGAGGCTTCTAACTTGGCCATGTGGGGGTTGTTCCTTAACTTGGTGAGAGTTCATGCAGCCCGTGTCTCTACACTGTCATTACCTGTCATGGCGACTATGGGAACAGGCTGCCACTCTGCTGTCACCTCGGTCTAATGGCTGGCAGGCGATCTGGATGTCACTCCCTCGAGGAGAGCTCATCCATTAACCAGAACTGGGACGTTCTGACCACAAACTTCCCGTTTCCAGTCCTCTTCCCAGTTCTGCCCAGATGACTGGATTTCTGTGCAGAGATCAAGGGAGCCCAAATATGGTCCCGATTAGTAGTTTAATGAATTCCCAACACCCCACCCCAAACTCACATGTCTCAGGATCATGCTTTGTAATATTTTAGTTCCTGGTGCTGACGAGGTAAAATCACTGCTCTCAATTTAATTGGAAGATTCCCAGATATGCTGCATAAAGATAAAACTGCAACCCTTGTGGAGATGACTGTTTCTCTTCCTTTTTAACCAAATATTTGGGTCAACATTTCCTCTCCTGATGTGGAAATGGTGTTTTTCTGGAACTGAAACGGACTCCTCTGGCCCTGGTGCTGGTGGCTGTGTGTGCAGGTGGCAGTTTTCGCATTGTCTGAGCCCGTGTCATGAATTCTCCCTTCCAGCAGGGTAAGTGAAATTGAGAACTCTTCAGGCATAGGTTGAAACTGGTGGCAGAAATCCTGGAGTCGATGTGAGACGGCGGAACGGGAGGCTGGAGGGGCTGTGGTTTTGTCCCGACTCTGCCATCTCACCATGGTTATGTCACTTGTCTTCTCAGCTGAGGAAACTGAACTTGGTGGTACCCAAGGCCCCTTGCGGCTCTGGAACTCTATTGCACTAAGGTCCTAAGATTCTTATCTTGAGAAATCCTTGGCTCGTGCTAGTAGCTAGTTTAATCCATAAAAATTGGTAGAAAAGTGAAACGCGGCAACACAGTGCATGGACACAGGTCTTGGCGAGGACTGAGGACCGAGGACCCAGGAACCAGGCAATTTCCTTTGATTCATCCGCTGGGAGATTCCTTAGGCGTGGGGTTCACAGGCCTCATCCTCTAATAGCCACGAGGGTCCATCCAGCTCCGGGAAGATAAGGAAGAGGTTTGATTAACGAAACACAAAGAAGCCTGCTCAGAGGAGGAGGGGCAGGCTATCTAAGCCTGTTAAGACAGAATAGTCAGGGACCCAACCAGGCTCAGGGAGAAAAGGAGCAGGTCCTGGGAGAGGAGCTCCACCCTCTTCTCAAGGAGGGAGACCCTGCAGCAGGAGGGTGTGGCTGTGCAAGTGTGGATGGGAGCCAATGCGGAGCACATTGAGAGGAGGAGAGGGAAGGTGCAGGAGGAAAGGCGGGGGAGGGAGCGAATGGGACAGCCTGTGTTTCCCTAGGGCCCGTGTTTTGGGGCAAAGAAGAGAGGCAAATGGAAAGGCCTAGAAGAGAAAAAGCAAAATGGAAAGAGAAAGACCAAGAAGGTAAAAGAGCAAGACTGAAGTGTGAGGGTGTTTCCACTCCTGAGTCCCTCACCTCTTGTTTGGGGACCACTTGCCCTCCATGTTTCAGGATAGCCCTTAGGGTCAAATATTCTGTCCGCTGTGCCTGGTGAAGAATCTTTTGTTGCTCAGGCACAAATGTCGGTCAATACATCCTTGATGTCCTTGGTGTTTCCATGGAATACTTGTGCCCACAGAGCAGTGATTTTCCAAACATTTATCCTTTTTTCAGAATGATCAGATCAGAGCTGAGAGCAAAATGAGGTCCTTGATACTTAGACTTCTTCCTTCAAATAATCAAAGGCCCCTCCTCAGCGGGCTGGAGCTACAGGGTGTTGGAGAGGATGACTACCCTGAAACAATGAGTCCGGTTGGAGGGTGTGTTCACACTTAGCTCAGAGAAAGCTGGGGCCTGGAGCTCCCCTTTGCTTTGTG